GAGGTCCTGAGGGAAAGGAGGAAAAAGTAAGGAGATCATGCCAGTTCACACAGAACAGACACCTTCTATAGGGAAGGATGAAAGTCTAGGCCACAATCTGCTTAGTGTAACTTCAACACAGGATACTATTATCAAGATTGTGAGGCTGAAATGAACGGTTAAAAAAATCTTAATCATTATATATTTTTCATTAACCGGTACAAAGAGAAGAAACGAAGAGGACAACTCGAGGCATTCAGTGTGCACACCCTTCTTCCTTCAAGACGAGAGAGATGTGGAGAGAAGCACAAAAGAAATACAGAAAAAGAAAAAAGTGAATGCCATTATGAACCTGACCCCTCCATCTCTTGAAGCATCACTGAATGAAGATACTATAAATGTCTATGAATTTTCAATCTAAAACATTCGACTAATTGTAAGCTGAAAATATTTTTACTGTTTAACAATTATAATTGTTGTTACAACACACACTCTCTAATCTTAAAATGTTCATGTTGAAGGTTCTTGGCGTGAGATGGTGTTTGATTTACTCATATTTCTGAGTTTCATAAATACATTTTTAAAAGTATTAAAACAATGTTGGTATGTTTGATGATTTTTATTTTTATTAATGTTAATTGAATGTTTAATGCATATAAAACACACTTCTTTTGCATTGACAAATTGTGGTGTGGTGCATTTCATCATATAGTGTGACACTATATAATTTGGTGTGACAATCAGAATTGTGGCAATAAAATACTTTTTTTTTTGTTATAAACCATAAAGTCAATGGAACAAAAATTAAATAGTATCAGCAAGATTCACAAGCATTTTGTTAGATTTATAACAGGGTTTGTCAGAATCATTCTAAAATGTCTGGAAAGGCTGAGGAGAGATGACTTACTCTGCATGATGATTTAGAAAAATAATACAAAATCTAATGGATCTGCACAAAATAATGTTAAATCTTAAGATAGTAATGATAAAGATTTATGGTGAAGTTAGTTACTTAGGGAGAGTATATCCCAATTTCATTTTATATAGAATAACTTTTTATGTCTTACCATATGACAATTTTAGGCACAAATGCAACAAATTAGTAAATAAATCCAATTTCCAATACAAAATCTAAAAGACCACATATTTTGGGGGG